TTTCCTTGTTTCAGGTGGAGTGCAGGAGTCATCATGTACACCTTGCTGGCCGGATCTCCTCCTTTCTGGCATCGGAAGCAGATGCTGATGTTAAGAATGATCATGAATGGAGATTACAAATTTGGGTCTCCTGAGTGGGACGATCAATCAGATACAGTCAAAGACTTGGTAGGTAACTTTCACCTGGATGGATCCAGAGGCTCTTGGAGAAAAATAAAGGAGAAAAATGCAGGGCAGAAAAAGATAAAAGTAATTGGAACACCTGATGATTAAGAAATTGACCCTAACGCCAAAAATACAGTACTTGGGCCCAATTGGAAAATGGCTCCCTTTTGTTTCTTGGTGTTCATTTTCCTGTCCAATGGGATTGTATGGGGGGGGGGGGTGTTGCTCTGAATAATTAGTATTAACCAGTGCTAGACTCGTTATGGTTTTCCACTGCATTCAGAAAACCAATGCCTCGGCTTCTGAGTCACAACTCTGTTCTTCTGCCTGCAGATTGCCCACTGTTTAGTGGTGAAGCCGCACAATCGTTACACTGTGCAGGATGCCCTCACCCACCCCTTCTTCCAGCAGTACATGGTGGAGGAAGTCCGGCACTTCAGCCCCTTCCGGAAATTCCGGGTATGCCCAGTTGCAGAGAATTCTGGGAAAGGGATGGCCATTTTTCTCAGTAATAGCCAAGGATTGAGGGGAGGGGCAGGGGTGGGATTCAAAAAAATTAACAACCGGTTCTATGGGCTTGGCTTAGGTGGTGGGCGTAGCTTGGTGGTCATGTGACTGGGTGGAAATGGCTTGGTGGTCATGTTATTGGCTGGGTGTGGCCAACTCAATACCACTCACATCGAGGCATTCATCTCCTCGCCTGGCCTCTCATGACTATGGGGATGCTGTGAAAAATGGTCATAAGTCACTTTTTTCAGTGCCATTGTAACTTTAAATGGTCACTCCACACCAGCAAAGGAGGGGAAAGAAGCTCCAGAGAAGTTCCTGAGACAGGAAGTCTAGTCCTGCCAAGAATGTAATAAGGGTTAACAGAGAGGCAGTTTCTGTAAGCAACACCAGAATGTTTCCTTCCTGCCTTCCTTACAGGATTAGGCCAGTAATTTCTTCTAACAACCGGTCTGCTTAGAATGTTAACAACCGGTTCAAGTGAATAGATGCGAACTGGTAGAATCCCACCCCTGGGGAGGGGAGAGTCAACAAAGTCAAGAGGATTACAATTGAAGCTGTGCCCTTTTTCTATGTGCCATGGATGTAAACTAGATATGGGCTTAGATTGTGCAACTCCTGCCCAACATCTTGACTTTTTTGACCTACCCCATGGATGTGCCTGCTGATGACTCTGATCAAGTTTTTTTTTTTTTTTAAGTGGGAAACGGGGAGGCTAAGTCAGGGGTTGTTGTGGGACCTGCATGAATCATGCTGCTGGGCTGTGGATCCTAACCCAACAAGACACATTCACACAATATGTTAAACCATTGCACTTTCCTTAGTTTTGTTTCATTGCATTGTGGAAGGTTGTGATTTATTCAGCACATGAATTAGGCTTGAGTATCTTGCCCAAAATTGGTAAATAGCAATATATTAATACATATTAAACATACATTAAGTGTGTTGTCATATAAAAAAAAAGTTCCTCCTGGAAAACCTGAAAGACCAGGTTAGGGACAGATTGTCACAGTCAAAAATCTATCTCTGTGGTTGCTAAGAGTTAACACCAACTTGAACAATTTGTATCCATTCATCAGTACATTCCAGTCATGGGTTTCTTCCCATCAGGTTTGTATAACGGCAACTGTGTCATACCTGCCCTTGTCTACTATTGCTTCTTGTTCACCCTGTTTGTTGCCCAAGCTTTGAGCATTTATATGTAAGCATTTAAGACCTTTATGCTTGTCCATGGGTATCTTTCCTGCCTCTCCTAATTGTTGTTTGAGTTTTTTCTCTTTTCATCCCTCCCTCCCTCATTTTTGGTTTTTCTTGGGATTTATGATTGGTTTTGTGTTTCAGATAGTCTAAAGATTAGTCACCCTCCCCCTTCAATTTTAGTTTAAAGCCCTTCTTGATGGCACATAAACAAATTAGGCTCAAATGGGGGAGAGTTATTGGTGACACAGGTTTTTTTGAAACTCAAACCATTGCTTAGCATGTTTTATCCAGTTATTCAGTTATCACATTCTAAAGTAGTGGTATTTATTTATTTGAGCATAGCATAGTTGTGTGAATATAGCAGCACTGAGAGTTAACTTGAATTTAATGTGCTGTGTGAACCCGACCACAAACTCAGAGGTAAAGAATTGGACCCAAAGCATTCTGTATATAAAAACAGCCTCCTTTTTATTGGCAGTGGCCCATTCCTGGTGAATTAATGCATCCTTTAAAACACGGGTGTCAAACTCACGTCACGGCAGTGTCACATGGCCATCTTTCCCCCTTTGCTAAACCAGGTGTGGGCGTGGCCAGCGCGTGACGCATCTGGCCCACAGGATGCGAGTTTGATATTCCTGCTTTAAAAGGAAAAAAAAAAGAGCCACAAACCAATCAGATATAATTTAAAGCAGTGGTGGGATTCAATTTTTTAAAAATTTATGTGGGCGTGGCTTGGTGGGCGTGGCCTAGCTTGGTGGGCATGGCAGAGGAAGGATACTGCAAATCCCATTCCCTCCCCACCCCACTAACCTGCTTTCCAGCTCCCTTCTCCTGTGCAGGGCAACCAAAGAAAACCCAGCCGATCAGCTGGAACTTGGGAGGCAGAGAATAGATGGGGGCGAGGCCAGTCAGAGTTGGGATTTGCCGGTCCTCTGAACTACTCAATTTTTTTGCTGCTGGTTCTTCAGAACTGGTCAGAACCTGCTGAATACCAACCTCTGCTTTAAATATGTCAGTCTAACAAACATCTCTTCCCAGGTCATCTGCCTGACTGTCCTGGCCTCAGTTCGGATCTACCTCACCTACCGCAACATCAAGCCGATCACCCAGGATGTGCTGCAGCGTGACCCTTACGGGCTGAAGCCAGTCCGCAAAATGATCGATGCGTGCGCCTTCCGGATCTATGGCCATTGGGTGAAGAAAGGAGAAGCTCAAAACAGAGCTGCCCTCTTTGAAAACACTCCCAAAGCCATCCTGTTCAGCTTGGCTGCCGAAGAGGAGCTTCTCTGATTTCCAAGATCTCCAGGAAGAAAGCCGTTCAAACAGTCTTTGGCATCTTCCTAATTGGGCTGAGCATGATCCCAACACATGTGCAGAGTTCAACTCCCACAATTCCCCAGCCAGCAAAGATGGAAATGAAATAGCAAAGGGTAAAACCGAATACAGGCCAGAATGCCTTTTTATTAAGTGCCTTATTATTGGTTGCACAGTCAGCCAGATGTTTAGACTGGATCTGGTATTTTTGTTTATCAGTTACAGGTAGTCTCTGACTTACAACCGTTCATTTAGCAACTGTCTGAAGTTAGAACTGAAAAAAGTGACTTGCAACTGGTCCTGGCACTTAAGCCATCACAGTATTCCTACTGTCATGTGACCAAAATTCCAGCGCTTGGCATATGTTTAGTCACCCAGTTTGGATAGTGAGATGGGCGGCATCTAAATTTAACAAATAAATATAATTTAATAAATAATGATGATTGCAACAGATCCAGGTAACATGATAACCAATTCCAGTCAGTTTTCAAAAAGCAAACTCAATGGAAGAAGCCCAATTCATTTAACAACGGTAGTGATTTGCTTAACCACCGTAGTAAAAGTAAAATTGGGCATGAGTTGCTTAACCGCTTTGCTTAGCAATGGGAATTTTGGTCTTAATTGTGATCTTAAGTTGAGGACTATTATTATTTTAGTATTATTAGTATTATTTCTGAAACCTGTGAGATCTAAGGATAAATGTAAAGCTCTGGAATGTGAAGCTGCACTACCACATCATAGGGCTAATTCCCATCCGCGACGGTTTCTCTACCCCTCCGAAGGGCTTTTAACAGTCATAGGATGAAATATCCAATAGGGGCCTTTTTCCAAGAAGTCTTCTCTCATCCCAAGACTCTGTGGCTGCTTTGAGGCTGAAAACTTCTCTTAAGAGACTCACAAGCTTTTGTACTTGTTTTTAGGCTGCCAATCCCTTCCTTAGATGGTGTTAAAAAGCGATGGACAAATTTATTATAAGTACATGGATCCACCATGTTCAGCACAGTCTGTCTTATTTATTTTTTTGAAAGGAAACATTGGAGAAAGTGGGGATTTCTGCTTGTGGGCTTCCCTGTTACTGTTAGATTCAGGATGCTGGGTTAGCACGTTTTAGAACCCAAATCTTCCATTCAAAGTATGGGGGATGTCTTTGGCATGATGTCTGAAATGGAACTTCCGTGTTTCAAGCCAGCCTATTTCTGAATGCCAGCTATTGTGGATTGCTGGGGGTGGATGGGAGAGTTGCTGTCATTGCTTCACTGATGTACTATATGCTAAGATCCAGGTTGCCATTACTGCAATGAAACACGTCCCAATCCAGCAGAAATAGGCAAAGAAAACATCTAATATAAGCAGTTCCATAATCTGTAACAAGGAAGTTGATAGATAAATATTAATGCATAGCTGAGTTAGGTTAAGGATTCTCAGTCATCCAGGTAGTTGTCATAGTAGCAGTCAACTACTACTGGACTTCTTGTTTTTGTTGGTTCAAAACATTTTGTTGCTTATTCAAGTAGCTTCTTCAGTCTGAGCAAGTTGGTTAGGGGGACCACATATATGTCCTCCAACCCATCCTGGAGGACATATATGGAGTCCCCCCCCTAACCAACTTTAACTTTAACCTAGGACTAAGGAGAAATTTCCTGAAAGTTAGAACAATTAATCAGTGGAACAACTTGCCTCCAGATGTTGCTGGTGCTCCAATACTGAAAGTTTTTAAGAAGAGATTCAACAGCCATTTGCCTGAAATGGTATAGAGTTTCCTGCCTGAGTAGGGGGTGGACTAGAAGATTCCCAAGATCCCTTCCAACTCTGTTATTCTATTATCTTGCTCAGACCGAAGAAGATACTTGGACAAAACATTTCAAACCAACAAAAAGAAAAGAAATCCAGTTGCCATGACTCAACTCCACATAGATGTGTTATGGGATTATTTACTACAGCTGCATATAAGAACATGATTTTTAAAAAGATATTTAACAAACAATAAAATGTGCTTTATTTATTCAGATTGAGTTAAATTGTGATATGTGGATATATTCTCAAATTTCATCCAAAGTTGATAGAAACTTATCCCAAATTGGTCATGATCCTGTCTCACTTAAAACTACTGCAGACTCATGCTGGAGGGGAGGGGAGGGGGGAAATTATAAGTGTATATATATATATATATATTATATTATAAGGTTTTTGGAAGGGATCTCAAAATCCAAAGAATTAGTGGCTGGATTATGACATAGCGCTAAAACCACAATATGATTTGTTTGGTTTTGGTTTACAGTGTTGTGTAAAGAAAGCCAACTCTGGTTTAAACAATATTTCAAAAAAAAAAAAAAGGGTGTGTGTGTGTGTATGGGCAGTGTCAATGACATCACAGCACCCACACCATGCCCCTTGTGGCTCCTAGGGCCAAAAAGGTTACTCATTCTGGCAAACCATGACTTTGTTAACTATGGTTTCTTAAATTAATCAACCAACACAACATGCTGGTCACAAGCTATAGCTTGCAAATCTTATTCAAAAACGCTAAACCAAAATGCTGTTCAAAATGCTATACCAAAAACAAATACTGTAAATGGCTTAGAGAAATGAATGAGCCCAGCCAATCTCAGTTTAGGTAACCCAATGGTTTCCTGCATAGGATTGTTCCAGAATGAAACCAGTAATCTGCAAATATCAAACAATGTGTATCCCTATTACAATTACAACCAGTAGAAAGGTTTTGTTCATTTTTAGCTTTCAAGCTAAAAAAATTTGATTTTTATCAAAATCAGGCAAAAAAAGTACCCAAAGTCTGGCCAAGAAAGATGCAGGCTGACCCATCTCCATAGGAGAAAAGATCTGGGTCTTTTTAGAAGAGTTTAATGTTGGCTTCAGAGTTCAGCCTTTTTGCCGACAGCTTCCTGTGCTGGTTGCTTGACGAGGCTGGTGGCACATCGGAAGCTCAAGTTGTCTGAAGAAGAATCGGGAGTGTTCCCCATCCTATGGATTAAGAGGAACAAAGTTTGTCTTAGTAGAAAGTCTCCTCAGTCATCTGGCCCAAATCCAGAGCTACTTCAGCCTTCCAAAAATTTCCTCTTCCCATATTTTAGGACTATAACCAGAACTCTGCCTGGGAAATTCTAGAGGTTGCAATCTAAATACACTTGAAAAATGGCAGCGTGGGGAAAGTGGGATTTAGTTCATTCAATCAGTTTACTCTTGGTGAGTTTAAAAAGGAATTCCACATTAATTAAGCAACGGTAAACATCAATATACATTTAAATGTTTATTTAATGGGGATCATAAATTGCAAAAAGGATTGTTGTGACCTGTCGGCTGCCGGCCCCTCCGGCAGCTGAATCAGATGAGGAGGAGGAGGCGGCATGGGAGTCAGGGGCCAGCATCATGGCAATCTCTGAGGGGAAAGAGGGAATGGAGCTGGCAGAGAGAGAGAGAGAGAGAGGCAGAGCCTGGGCCATCTGTCAGTCCTCAGATGGAGAGTCAATAGCTCCCAGTCTGGAGGTGGCTGATGAGGAAGAGGAAGAACAGCTGGGTCCAGTCAGTGCCTGACGCACTGAAGGCAGAGAAGAGGAGAGCAGCGGAAATCTATGGGCCAGTCCTTGGGATGGAAGAGCCACCACTGCTAGCTCTGAGGATAAAAGGCAGGGGGCGGAGATGATTAGGTATGGCAGACAACTATTCATCTCCCTGCTGGTCAGTCACTGATAGCCTGCACTTCTGAATCCTGTCTGGAAATTATCAGAATTCTTCTTGGAATCTGCAGCGCCTTCTGAGAGAGAGAGAGAGGGAGGGAGAGAGTCTGCTGCTGGAAGAAAATGAATTGCACCTTCCAGAACTTCTTTTGCAAGTGTGGAAAGAGAGAGAGAGTGACTCCTGGTGTGTTGGGGCCAGTTTAGGGGGAAAGGGAGTGAGTATCACTTTCCACAGGACTAGAGCCTTCATAGTCTCCTGTGAGAGAGCGGCTGCTGGCGCTCCTAACAAAGAGAACGTTTCAATACTTGTCTGGAGCTGGAAGCAAGGATGCATTCTTGCTTTTTCAATCTCTTCTCCAGCTGTCTGGAATTTGTATGGCCAATCTCAAGATCTCTCCTTTCTGAGGAATTTTCAGTGGTCTGAATTCAGCATCCAGCTGCAGTTTTCAGTCATAATGTCTCCTGTTGCCAGTGGAATGTCAGTTAGTTTTTTCATCACCGGAAATCTTGGCAGCCCTGGCTACTTTTGACAAATGATATAAGCAGCATCATGCTATTATACCAGAAGCTCCACCCTTTTTAAAATGCCTATGTGATGTTATGACACATATACAAAATGGACAGGACTTGCTACACAACGGTGTACTGTTGCTGTTGTGAGACTGATGGCTGCTGCTGATTGTGTTTGTCCAGTATACTGTAAGTTTTAAATTCTGGAGGAGAAGATGCTGATAAGATGTCACCTGCCAGCATACCTGGTTGTAACCTGAGCTTTGTGATTGGCAGAGCCATCCACTGTATCAATCCAGGATGCTCCTCGCAGGACACGCATCTTTTGACCTGGCTGGCGGGATGCAGGACCATTCGGATGGTACTCTGAGGATGTCCATTCCCAAGTATTTCCTAGCAAATCGTATAAGCCTGTGATTACAGAAAAGACAGTAATTCACTTGGGGAAGCCTCCAACCAGCCTGCACAGAAATATACGAGCCTTGCCTTGGAAGATCAGAAAGGAAAAGAACAAATAGACAGAAAAATGTATCTACAAGGTTTGTGAAAAACTGATGCTGGCATATTTTCTAGAACTAAACCTGCATTCATATCACAAACTCAATTGCTGGCCTGGAATGAAGATTCCAGTCCAGGTAGTCCTTGCATAGCAATTACAATATGGACCAGCAGCTCTGTCACTAAGCAAAATATCAAGTAATTGTACTGGATTTATGTCATTTCCATTAAGTTAATCACTTGCTGTCATTGTGACATCACTTAACCACAACTTGCAATTTTACTGCAAGTTCTCCATTGATTCTGCTTGTCAGAAATCAGCTTTGAAGCATAAAAATTGTGATCATGTGATCACAGGGTACTGCAACAACCATATGGGCAAGAACTGGTCAAAAAGCTACTTTTTCTTGGGCCATTGTAACTTTGAACAGACATTTAACAGGACGTTGTAACATGCAACTATGTGTTAGGAAGACAATTTAACTTCCTAGAGAGAGGACCTTGAACTTTCAAGAACCTTCACTTAAAATGCTTTCTATTCCACACCAGCATCCATAGACTGACCAGTTCCAATGACTACGACCTGTAATCTTACCATAGTTATTCTGAGGAGGAAATGCTGCCACTGGGGATGCTCCACGAAAGCCATCTTCAGCTGTGTCAACTTTGGGGAAGGTGCCCTATGTAGACAAAAGGAGGTAAATAAGTGAACAACCAAGATAAATAAAAGACAACAAATCCAAACTGGGTGCCAAAATTCAGGTGTGTGTGTCATAGTTCAAGAGTAGTCTTGAACAGCCCATGAAACAATGAAATGGTATAATTGATTAACAGTTTATGTGTCATCAAATTGGTATTAAAATTTAGTAACTCAATAGATAGATCTCTCTTTCCTTCCTTCCTTCCTTCCTTCCTTCCTTCCTTCCTTCCTTCCTACCTACCTACCTACCTACCTATCTATCTATCTATCTAAGCTTTTATCCCAGGGCAGTAACTCCACTGAATTCTACTGTATAGTGTAATATTAATGCAATATCAGAGGTTTTCAATCCGATGTATAGAATGTGAAGGATGTGTGTTTGTGTTTATTTTCAGTCATAATGTACACTGAAGATGGTATTTAATTTTGTTGTACGAGGTGCAATGACAATAAAGTAAACTAAACTAAACTAAACTATCAGAGAGGGGGAGGAGGAGAGGGAGAATAAATATACAGGCTGCACATCTGACATATATGACTTCAGGCAGCTAACAATTAAAACAGAGTACAAGAAAATAAAAAGCAATCAGAATAAATAATATAAAAGTAGCAACTGAGAATGCTGACAAACAAGCTATGAAAAAGACTCCTTCACACAATCAGGATCTCCTAGACTTGATGGCAAAGCCGGGCTTCTAGTGCCTTGTGAAAGGCCATCAGGGTCAAGCCAAGTCTAATTTCTAGAGGAATGATGTTCCTGAGGGCATCCTGCAGATGGATCTTCTCCAGGACTTTCTGTCCCCAACCTCATCCTTCAGCTATTCCAAAAATGTACCCATTGCCACAACAACTGATTCCATCCATTTCATCATTTCTCCCCTCCCCCCACCCTTTCTCTTCACTTTCCCAACATTGCAGACTTTTTCACAGAGCTAGGTCTTTGGATAATGTGCCCAAAATTTGATTAATTTCAGCCTGGTCATTTGTGCCTCAAAGTGCAGGGTGTAACCAGCAACAAAGTATAAAGGGATGATCATGCAGATAAAGAAAAGTCTTGGCCATGTGGACATATGCACATGTGGAACAAAAGAATCTAGGACTGTGAAATGGTCTAGGACAGTGTTTTTCAAAATTGGCAACTTTGAGGTGTGTGGACTTTAACTCACACAATTCTCCAGCCAGCAGATATATGAAATGGGCAGCCTATACACTTATTCCCTTGACAGCCGAAGTGGTAAAAGAGGAAGAAAGAAGAAGAGGAAGCCTATACATTTATTAAATTCCTTATATGCTGACTGGGGAATTCTGGGAATTGAAGTTCCCACGTCTTAAAGTTACCAAAGCTGACAAACACTGGTTTACACACAGGAATAGCCTTGAACTGGGATCAAATGATTCAAAAAGAAAGATTGGGAGTGCTTATTGTTATTACTCTTAAGAAGGGTTGCAATGATGTAGGATTGGATGCTTTTACTGAATTTTGCTTCTGGATTTCATTATATCATCACACTTTCTGCAGTGTGGTTATAAATAGATATGGAATTTTTAAGGAAATTAAACACAATGCATATCAGTGTTGCTATTTTATTGAAGCCAAGTCACATGAATGTTATACAGGAGCAATATAATCCCCTCATTTTGCATATTAAATATGGGTATTTCAAATCCCTATTTACTGTCAAGACTACATACCTACTACTACTTACCTGCCAGAGGTTAGTGCGGTTGGCTAAAAATTTGTTTCCCCAAGGATACAATCTGTCTAACAAAAAGGGGAAGAAAAAAATAAAATGGTAATGTCAATTCACTCTATCAATTCTAAACATGCCCATTTCCTCCCTTCAACCATTGACCCTGGAGTAGTCTTTAATATCAAACATTTAAAAAGCATGTGGATTATTAAAACCTGAATTCCTAAATACACTGTTTGGATAGCATGCTTAGGGTTATTGGTGTATATGCCCATTGTGTGCTTGTTTACTCTCTTGTAATCCTTTCTTCTCCAATCTCTCCACTCTGCAAAGGGAGAGAAAAGCCCAATGCTAGCTGGGAAATCCTGAAAGTTGAAGTCACACATCTTCAAGTTGTTAATAGAGAAACACTACTGTAGACTGCCTGCCTGGATTAACAGGACAATAATCTTGATTGACATCAATGCTTCCCAAACCTGGTAAATTACCCAAAATTAGATAAAAGTGGCTTTTCTTTGGCTAACAACATACAAATCCATTACCCAATTATGAAGAGACATTTAAAGTGACTTAAAATGTTTTACGTACACTGGGTAAAAAAGGGTTTTCTGATAAGGGGTTTTGGGTAGAAGAAAGTTTGGGAAACAGTGATCTAGATGCTAGGCAGGGTGATGGATCTAAGACCACTTTGGTTCCTTGCTTACGTACTCTCCAGGCCTCCCCTAGCAGCAAACTCCCACTCCTCTTCTGTTGGTAGCCTCTTCCCTTTCCATTTGCAAAAAGCTTGAGCATCATTCCAGCTCACGTGCAACACTGGGTAGTCTAGCCTGTCTTTGATGCTGGATCCAGGACCTGAAGGCTGGAGATGGAAAAGAATTCTAGTTATTTAAGGTATTGTTTTCCATTTCCTCTCTTTAAAAAGGCTCTCAGAATGCCTTGCAAATCTCTGTACAGTAGTGAGATGCTTTCTGTTCCTCAATCTTATAATCTAAACCAGGGGTCGCCAACCTTTTGGACCTCAGGGATCACCAATCTCATAATTTTAGATCCCAGGGACCACTAACTGGTTCTGTGGGTGTGGCCTAATTTGTGGTGGTCATGTGACTGACTGGGCACGGCTTGTATGTAAATATTATAAATATTTATATAAATATTGACTTTTTTTTTTATAAAAAAGAGCAACTTTTACCCAAAATCAGGCAAAGCAGGCAGGCAGATTGAGCTGCTCACAGAATCGCAGATTCATTCAGAGATCTATCTATCTGCCATCGGCTAGCTCAGTCTGTCCCATAAAATTTGCTCGCAAGCAATCTCACAAAATTAACTCACAACACACCATGCATGTAAATATTGAATTTTTTATTTAAAAAAAGAACAGATTTTACCCAAAACCAGGCAAAGCAGGCAGATCGAGTTGCTCACAGAATAATTCTATTATCTATCTATCTATCTATCTATCTATCTATCTATCTATCATCTATATCTCTGCCATCGGCTAGCTCAGTCTCTCAAATTTGCTTGCCGTGAGTCTGCACTGAATTTGCTTGCAAGCAAACCTTCAGTCCTAAGGGAGGTTCGGCTGTACTTAAAAGCAGAGCCAAAGATCTAAAGACTAGCTGGAAAGCAAGAAATCCAACCATTTCCTGCTTCCTAGCTAATCTAAATCTCCCGGCACAGAGAACAGATGATGGTGGGAAAAAGGAAAAATAGAAATTTAGCAGACAAGTTTACCGGGTAAGGAGTGAGTGGGCAGGGAGGGTTCTCACGGGCCATGTGGGAGGCGTAGCACTTGTGTTTCTGTGCAGCCTGGATTAATTGCTTTGGGGGGTTGCTCTTGGGGTGAGATTTCTCTGCTGCCCACCAAAATTTTCTGGTTGGCGACTGCTGATCTAAATGACATGACACATAAGGAATCAGGACAAAGAAGGAAGAGGAAAAACAAACTCTGTTGTTATCACAACCAACTGAGAAAGAATTTGGGTAATTTGATGGAATGACAGCCAGTTAAGAGGCAGCTGGCAAAAATGTCAAAGATTAGCTTTTCTAAAGGTCAACAAAGATAATCTTTCATCAATTGATGAGATAAACAAGGGCAAATTCAGCATGGATCTTCCTCATATACTCAGCCAATTTAACATCTGCATATGCCAAGGAGTTTATAATTGTTTTTTGCCCAAACTAGATCATCAACCCATGTAATCTGGCTTCTCCACCATAGACCAGACTAGTTTCTTGGATTTATTCATTCCCTTGGGGGTTTCTGGTTCTCTCAAATCCCTAAATTAAATTTGCATGTCTGAAAAGCTACTGCAATGCAGGGTCTACCAAAGACAGATTAATTAGTTCAATGTCCAAACTACCTTAAGACATCATTAGTCTCATCCTCAAAGATCTTGGGCACACTCAACTGGAAACAAAAACACCACATACTTTCTTACCAGGAATGTCATTAAAATCTTAAAATAATAATAATCACATTTTCACAAGATGTGGTGAACTGAATTTTTTTCCCCTTTAAAAAGGACTAATTTTCAAATGTCATCTGGGGAGCCTGCAGATACCATGTAAGGGCACTGTGGATTTTCTAGCGCTGGCAAAAACATTTGGTGCATTTTCTATTGGCAGGGTACGCAGAGGGCCCCAACTAATGTTATTATGCATCTTGGATGTCAGCCTAGTCTGTCCTGTATCCAGTATGGTTCACTAATCAACACTGTGGTACCCAAATCATGTCTCTGATAACATCTATATTCCTCTTGTCCTCTAGTAAAGACTCACCTGTCTCCAAAATGCCTTCTCAATTGGAAGCCACCATGGTGCAGACTAAAGGAAAAAATAAAAGTAGAATGTAATCAACAATAAAAAAAATCCCAATTATGAACTGTTCCCTTCTTCACCAAAATAACATGCATTTGTCCCCCATTTTTTAGAATAACATTGGAAAGACAATCCTTTTTAAAGGAAAAAGGATGGTGTAAATTTGACCACAAATCTTGGTTCATGAAAAAGCCCATTTTAATGATTTATTATGATTTCAAATACATTGGAAGGTGTTGTAAGGTTGGTTGCTAAGATCACTAAAGCTGAAATTGTTGCTCAATAAAGATACAGAGCCCTAAGGACTTGGCATGCCAAACTAGAAGCAACAGAAGATATATGCAATAAGAAATCAGAATTATACTTTGCAGGCTGAAGATTTCAGATCACAAAACTTTAGGCAGGTTCGCTGAAAAGTTGTCACTTTCTGCCAAGCTACAGAAGCTACATTAGGTGAGATAGATCGACTCACTTCATGACAGTTCATGTTAGAATTATAGTTTCCTAGAATTTATTACTTGTAGTTTCTCTCCTTGTTAAATCACACTCTGGACACTCACACTATTTCCCAATACTTGACTGATCCATTTACTGATGTAAATTGGTGCTGAGTAATCTATGAACTGTAAAACTTACTGGAGTTTGGAACCTTGAAAAGCAGGTTGATCAAAATCACCCCTTTCTCCCAAATACTGAAAAGTGGCCCTTTACCTCTAATTTTTGCGTCACTTTCTTTTTAAGCTCTTCTGGGACAAAATTCTCAAAGACAAAACTCCAGTCAAATTTCTCAGCTTCCGTTTTGTATTTCTGGTCCTTCACGAATTCCCTGTGTCCAAAAGATAAAACGGATTTCCTAACCAGCCATTTTTGGAGATCTCTTAACAATTTTGTGGCTGGGGGCTTCGGCTTTTAAAATTCAGGCAGGAGAAAGGTACAGGGGATGTGATAATGATGTGCTGAAATCACCTGGAATGGGGACTGAATTGATGGTGCCCTATTGTTTTCATTTGTCACTTTTATACATTTACACAGTGTTACGTCTAGTTCTTTCTATTCCCATAAAACATCAGTGGGAAAGTGCACTGTTGTCATCTGAGTGTTTACAAATATCTTAGGACATAATTTTGTAGCCTCTGAGGGACCCAAAGAAAAGGACTGCGGGAACACATATGATGTACAGCTAGCTACAATGCACTAAGCCCTTTCTCATTCAGCACTGGTTTCTTGTGTTAGCCTTTGCACACTAATTATGTCTTGTTTTTCATAATGATATTCTGAAAATAAAGCAACTAATAAATCCAGGGTATGAAGAAATTTGCACAGACAGAAGGTTGGCACTGAGGATGTTATTGTTCTTTCTTAACTACTAAATAAATTGTTCCCGAATTGGACTTTGCCACAAAATAGCTGTATCAGAAATTTACCTTCCCTAATATTCCATCAACCACAAATCTGTACTCTATTTACACCACCCAGCTAAGACAACCCTTCATGCATGATTGTAATCCTCACAAGTATCATCCCACAATGTTCTATTGCAGTCTGAGCTGTAACTTTGAGGAGTTTCTTAACAAAATAGTACATAGTTCTGGCCTTCCTGTAAAGTTTGTTTCCTCATCTGGTCTACATTGAAGGGCTGACCTGGAATTGTTAGAAAGCTGCAAGTTGTGAATGCAATCTAAAATGGTAGTGAACATATTGTATTATTTAAGTAAGAGAGAAACCACTGCCAGTCAAAAACTATGTACAGCTAATGTGGGATGTGACCTTTACCTGAAGTCTTTGTTGGTGACCGGATACTTGTCCATAAGGAATGGTTTGATTGTCCTAAGGGATCTGTCTTCATTTTTACCATCCAATATGTTGGTTCTAATTTCCAATTTCCCACCAGGCAGCTGTACTGTTTCATCTTTCTCGAAAGCTGAGAGAAGAGTTAAAATTAGCAGCAAGAATGTTAGGGAATAGCAAAGAATGAAGGCAAATATACGTGTCCCAGGATAATGTTGCAGGATCCAATCTGGATTGGTCACCAGGAGCAGAGGTTTCTTTAGTTTTATGAACTTTCTCACATTCTGGTGAGAGAATTTCCCTGAGGATGGGTTCTACTTCTATCATGAACCCAAAAGCTTGGAAGACTAAATCTCTGGTCCCAATGACCAACCCAGATTGGATCTAGGAGCAAAGAAGAAGGAAAGAAGGAAAGGTAACAGCTGGATTCACAGAAGGCTCCAAAGGTGTTGGCATTTTGTGATCCAGACATCATGGAAAAACTTCCATGACTTGTAATTTGCTGTTCAAATCAGCCATCATGTAAAACTAGGACTTGGTTTATCGGGCACAACATATTATATGAACACAATAATTAAGTTTTGCTAATCTAAGGTTATGGTCTAATGCAGGGGTGTCCAACCTTGGCAACTTTAAGACTTGTGGACTTCAACTCCCAGAATTCCTCAGCCAGCTTTGCTTGGAGTTGAAGTCCACAAGTCTTAAAGTTGCCAAGGTTGGACACCCCTGGTCTAATGTATGGTGTGAATATTGTTTATACGTCAGGAGTCCAAATTTTGAGGACAGTCATAGGAAGTCTTTTTGAGGGCTGCAAAAGTCTTCTAGCAGAAGAAATTATAGGGAAAAAATAAAACAGGAACCACTCAGTATGCTCAGTTCTCAGATATTTCTAAAAACGTGAAAACTTGAACAAATGAGAAGGCACAATCTCATGTATACTTTCCCCAACATCCCCTATTTTCTTATTTGAATCAAATGCTATAACTATTCCAAACGACAGTATTGTACTTTTTAAAAGCAAGAATTTGAAATACCTTTGCACATTATACATTCTGCTTTTGCTTTATCATTATCTATTTGGATATTGCTATTTTACCAACTGTCCTGCATCGATAAAAAGACAGAATATAAACCAAATTAATAATAATAAAAATACTTATGTTACATTATTTATTCTGTAACTTGGGCAACCTCCATCCAAAAATCATTTAACACAATATTTCCTTAAAGTTATACCCTTTGGAAACACATTGAGTACATTCTGAATCAGAAGAGTTGAAAGGGACCTTAGAGGTCTTCTAGTCCAGCCCCCTGCTCAAGCAGGAGACCCTATACCATTTCAGACAAGTGACTGTCCAGTCTCTTCTTCAAAACCTCCAGTGATGAAGCACCCACAACTTCCGAACACAAGCTGTTCCACTGGTTAATTGTCCTCAGTGTTAGAAGTTTCTCCTTAATTCCAGGCTGCTTCTCTCCTTGATTAGTTTCCACCCATTGTTTCTTATGCTGCCTTCAGATGCTTTGAAAAATAAATTGACCCACTCCTCTTTGTGGCAGCCTCTCAAATACTGGAATATTGCTATCTCTGCTTGCATACAGAGGTGTTTTCCCCATAACGGTGCACTAAAAGCTGAACGCCGTGATAAAATCATTAATTTTTGTAGGATTCGTAGGGTGCTCGCTAATTTTGCTGCATTTTTTTCTTCACTGCAACAGCCTAAAAATCTGGAAATGGTGGTATGTTGCACCAGCCTTCCTTCTGATGGATCCCAATTTAATTCTAATGGGAATTCAACAGGCACAGCCCTAAGCTTGCCCGTCTGTGTCTGAAGCAAGTTCCGCTCTATTCTGCGGAATTATTTCTCGGCTTCGAGTCTTTCTGGCAAAAACATTCTCGGGGAGGGAGGGAGGAAGTGGGGGGGGGGGGCTTTTCCAGGTTTTAGCACCCGGCTGCCCACAAAGAGAGCATTTAACCGTTCGACCCCCAGGAGGGAAAAGGAGAAGCTGCGGCGGGGACTCACCGGGGTGCTCCGAACGGCTCCCGGTCACCGCCCAGGGCGACAACAGGACGGGCAAGAAACTCGCGAGCAAGGCGGGAGAGAAGAACATTGACACGGGGAGAGGAGAGGACGATCCCTTCGCCCCCTTGGCAGCCATTTGCAGCGAAGCAGCCGGGCACGGCGATTGCTTCCGGGGTCGACAGGAGAGACACACACGTGTACGGGCAGCTGCGAACTTCCTTCATTTCGCAAACTGCCTGGGTTGGTTTCGCGTCGGATTTTCTCGGTGAGGACTCCGCTCCTATCCCTCTTTTTATTCGAAATAGTGCTGGTCTTAAACCCGGAGGAAGAGAAAAACTATCTTGGGATGATTGATGGCTATTGGAATCTTCTGTCTCCGAAAGGATATTTATTTTATTATATAAATATTATAATATTTTAAATAAACAGTTCATGAAACGTTCTCATTTTATTAACCAGTTTGAACAAGCCACACTTGACTCAAGTCAAAAAGGAGCAAACAACATAATTTTGGGTGCCTGAACTAAGGCCTTGTCCCGAGTTAAAGCTGATTTAATCCTTAGTCAGCTTTTTTTGCAACTTTAATTGCATTAATATATACATTTGTTTTTCCTTTTGAAAGAGGATTACGGACTGGTGGGTATTTCTGAATGCCAGCATTCAGCATTTAAGTGTTGGTAACCAGTTATGAAGGATTCTGAGTTTTGCAATTGCCTCCATTCTGATGTAGTCTGGGGTGTGCAGGAAATGTGGCAGCATACAGATTTAGGAAAGGAGGGCTTTAGGCGATTAGAAACAAAGCATTCCATTTTATTTTGTAGTTGCTGTACTTGGCTTCCTTCCAGTGCTTGAAGTAACAAATATAGAGCTCATCTGTTTTCTGCCATCCTACTGTTATACATCAGTGATAGAGCAACTCATTTTTATTTGAATAGTGTAGTAAATCCATAAACAGAAAATACCTGTTTTATAAAGCTACTCAAGATAGTACAGATTAATCCTTTGCAGGGGTGTCTTAACTGGCAGCTCGCAGGCTGGATGCCTTTTTCACCCCAGCTCTGTGAAAGGGGAAAAAATACTGCAAAATGTCATGTGACAGCAACATGACACAGCAAGTTTGACACCAGCTTTAGAGAAATCACTGCCTAATTCAATCATTACAGTGCAGTCAACAAAGCCTAGTTAGTCCTTTTTATAGGCCAAAGTAGAGACCAGATTTTTCTTTGCAATCTTCCCATTCTCACTTAAATCAGGGGCCACTGAAAAATGCCTTCTCTGCTACAGCTGAGCCCAGTATCAGCAAAACCAGAGTGCTACAATGCTATGAAAATTGGGGAATATGGTAAATGCTCTATTTAATATAGTAGTGAGCAAGGGTTGAGTAACCTAACCCTCAGTGGCAAGATGTCTCACTTTTGCCTACCCAAATATCCCAACGCATTATTCCCATTGCCTGCCTCCCAAGCCCCTTTCCAGCACCTCAGCTGACACCCCAGTGCAGCGTTTTGTCCATTAAACTAGATCCTTTCAAGAAAAATGGCAAAAATGCATCTCATTCGCCAGGCTTTTAATTTCAAACTACTTTTTAACACCTTGATTTTAATTCAATTATTTTATATTTGTAATGCGCCACCTTGAATGCATGTATAAGAAGATAATTACGCTTTTTCTGGCAATATGTGCCATGTAATTTCATACCAATAATGCAGTGGAAACTATGGGTGACATGGTGGCCTACTGGAGAAGATGCTCACCAGCCACTTGGAAAGTTGAGTTCAATCCTAGGTAGTAGCCGATGTTTCTCTCCTAGGGCGAGAAGAAATATTTGCTGCAAACTCCCATGTGGTATCAGGAAGGGCATCTGGCCAGTAAATGCTCAGCTCCATCTAAGAGATTGGACTGCCATTTGTCAGAAATGGTGTAGGGTCTCCCGCTTGGGCGGGGGGGTTGGGGTTGGAGTAGATGATCCACAAGATCCCTTCCAACTCTGATTATCTGTATCTAATCACCTGGCTCTACCAGGAAGGGATTACAGGGTCATAAAAAGGGTGGGGTTTTTTTATACAATGGGAACTATAGAAAATGATATAAACAACGAGTATTATTAAAACAGACCACACTCAAGTCTGAAGAGATGGCAAAACTTTAATGGGTAGAAAGACAGTAACTTCAGATGCATTTGTTCAGTGCATGTAAAAAATAAATAGTAATTGGTTCTATAGAAGTGAAAGATATCAATTTGTGAGTTGCCAAATTCCTGAAGGTAAACTTTTCTTCCTCCTATAATTTTTGAATTACACATTGGAAAGGGGGTGCTGTTAACATGAATTCAGGAAACAGTTGGTAGAGATTCCCCACTCAAGAGGTCTTCCAATTCAGCCTTTGAGAGATGACATTCCAGCTCGCATAATTTCATCAACCAAAAGAATGTTGCTAGCAATAACAGTGCTGGAGAAAACAGGAAGAGAAATTTCACTGGTCTTTATCGTTCATTTAATAAAAGTATAGTCAGCCCTTTTTCTTGTATTCTTTAAGAAGGTTCATATGGCCAATTTCACTTCTGCTTTTTCTTCCCACATTAAAGGCAAAAAAACCTGAAATATGAGACCCCATACCTAGTTACTAGCATTAGTCTGGAAAAACATACCAACTTATTTATACAAAAAGTATACTCAACCAGGTCTTAATTGTCAAGTAAATTCTATATGCAGTTATGGTCATTTTTTTAAAATGATTAGCTATAAAATGTTACCTAGAATGAAGCAACTGTTTTTTAACACTGTAATTATCCCAGATTCCAGCTGCTCCTGCTACCATTGGCTCACCTGAAAGATATAGGAGAAGGTTCATTAAAAACAATATCGTTTCCATAGTCTTTTGATAAGATTGCCAGGGTTGTTTTGTTTTATAAAGGATCCTCTGTGCAAACTGGTTTGGAAAACTAAAGACATGCATAAATATTCTATCGAATTAAAAATGGTTTAAAAACTGGAAAGCAATTGTCTGTTTCCTTTGGGAGCAATTCTGCAACTTTCCCAGCCAGTTTCCAATAAGCCAATTGGGGAAATCAGATTCACTTCATAATAGTGTGATTCACTTAACATCCATATGATTCACTTAATGATTGTGGTAAGAAATTATTGATTTGCTTAATGACTGTGGTAAAAATGAGTCATAAAATTGGGTCCAGTCAACTTGCTTAATGACTACATCCCTTAGCAACATTAATTCCAGTCCCAATTGTGATTTAAGTTCAGGATTACATGTACAACAAATGTTTATAGCCTGCCCTTGCCTGGGTTATTGGGGATACGACCAAGCCTTCTTTACAATATTCAGATTTGTTTATGTAACTGCTAAATTGTCACAAATAAAAAGTACAACCATTAGCACCAGTTCACCTCAATGAATTCTACATGAGAACATCATCGATAAAGGAGAATGCTTGCAGCTCAGGATTGAACTGTGGGGTCCTTGGTGCTCTCTGACCTGTTGTTTTCTTGCAGAAGTTTCATTACCCAAACTAGGTAACATCATCAGTGTCGATGTTAGTTTGTGTAATGAAACATCTGCAAGAAAACCAAGCTCAGACTGCACTAAGGATCTTCTGAGAACTTTGTTGGTTTAGTGGTACTGTTTTCTGGATAAAAGTTTGCAACTGAACTCAAGCTGAACTGAGTTTATAATAACTGTCATTTTCAAAAATCATCACCCATCTGTTAGCTTAGTTTGTAAAAGAAAAAATTTGAAGACCATAATATACCCAGCAGTTTGGAACTGTGAAGTAAGCCCATCAATCATGCTATTCCCAGCCACTGTTCTATACTCACCAGAATTTAGGTCCACCCCCACTAGTTGTCCCGACTCGGCATATTCTGCTTGAACTTTAACTAGTGTTTCCTGAGGATCATATCCAGCATTCTGAGCAAGTACCTGTAAGAATAAATACAGGGGAAAAAATAATTATTTTCTATTGTTCACTTTGTCAAAAATGAGCTATTTGGTATTTAGTGGAGATAAATGTCCAATATATACTTAGAACTGACTGACACCCCCCCCTTTCATTTTAGTTTCAGCTGTATCTCTGCTGACAGCTGGAAAGTCTTGTCAATGGTAACTACAGAGCTCAAGAATGCTATAAGAGGTTTTTGTCCAGAAGCTTCCTACCTTAGGGATGATCAGCAATGCATCAGCAAATGCCTGAACTCCCAGCTGGCTTCTTCCTTTCACACTGGGCTTATGTTTCACAAGGGCATCAGCTATTGCCACCTCCAGGGCTCCAGCACCTGGAACTACACAACCTGGAAAATAAAAAATCATTTGTTAACAATCCTGCAACAAAATGCAGGACAGACACCCAAGGAAATAGTGTTTTAAAAGGGTAACCCTGTTTCTTAAATATAAAGCTTTTGGGAGTTCTCAAGTCTTCTTAAAGGAAGAGTTTTAACTCTGGAAATCTTTCCAACTCAACACATGCTGTATGCCTCTGATGTTCGCACAATCATCTATGTGGTAAAGTCTTATTTTACCTTCATTCCCTCCTCTCATTTATGTACCTTTAAAATAGTTTTAAGTTGAAAGGCAGGACAATAGTAACTACTTATAATTATTTTTAAACTAGTTTTAAAATAATTAGTTTAAACTAATATAATTATTGAAACTAGTTTACCTGAGGTTTTAGTGCATTATTATGCTTCAGTTTAGGAAAGGAGAAGGGTTGGTTGTAATTGCCTTGGCAGTGTATTATAAGCTGCAACACCTATGTTCATTCAAGATGGCTTAATTATATTAGCACAACCATTACTAGGAGCCAGAGCTGGTGTGGTATTTCTATTTTATGAGAGAATTTATATTGTTTTGTTAACCATCACCACAATTTCAATTATATTGGTACTCACGTAGCCAAAACATACTGATCACAAACAATAAGTACTACTGGGCCTATCTAAATTTAGTAACACAAAAGTATCCTGAAGCAAAAATGTTTAAAGAAGATTGTTCTTCCTTCTACAAGAAAACCTTGAAATATGAAGGATGCTAAACTTTAAAAATTTTAAAATATAATTTTCTGCAGATACAATTTTTCTTATTCGAGACCCATCTTACCATTCATGAAGTTTTAGATTCCACTGTATCCTCCAAAGTAAAATTAGTGAACCAACATATGCAACTGCAAGATGCTAACATTGAAGACCAGA